ATGAAGGCCAGATGAAACTGGTTTATTTTTGAGGTGACTAAGCGGGGACGGTGGTGGAAATAGAACATCTGAGTGCTCAAGCTCTTCAACTGTCTCTGCAATTAGTTCTTGCTCATCGAATCTTCCCGAGCTTAAAGCATGGCTCCCATAGTGCGTGGCGTAAGCAGATTGGGAAGCTTGAGTTGTATTTGAGGCATATGTAGTGGACAATTGTTGGACTGTGGAAGAGGAGTTTGTGGAAGAAGTTGCTTTGGTACAGGAAGATATTAAGGACTCTTTACATGTATTTGATTGTGTGCTGATTGGTTCGGTTTGTTGTAAGTTTTCTTCCAGTTTGTGCAAATAATTTAACCTCTTTTCATTACGTTCCTTTGCTTTACAATAATTCGCGTAGTCAAGGTCGGTTTCATTCTGGGATAAGGATATAATAGAGTTTCGTGGAGTACTTGGAGTTAAAGGTTCACGGGATGGTTGGAATGCTTGCATTGCCGCAAATGCTGAAGATTTGCGTTGACCTCTTTCCTGTTTATCTGTGGTATAGTATTGAACATTCTCGCCGTTATTGTAGTTTGGATCGCTTTCAAGGTCGTTGTCTAAAACCTGAAATTCATATTTTTTCTTTTCTTTTTTCTTTTCTTGCTCTTCAAACATATGAGTTGCATTTTCAGGATTTAAGGGAGTGTAGGAGCGCTGAGGAGCAATGCGTAGTGCATCGGACATAGTTAAATGTTCTTTGGGTGTAGGTAAATCAATGACGTGGATTGGCACATCTCGTTCAAATTGTCCTTCAAAAGATTTCTCGGGCGCTACTGTTAGGGCACTTAAAAAAGGTGATTTAGGTCGGTAATCTTCCCGCATGTATGGTTTTAAGTCAATAGGGGGTGGCATATATGGTTCAGTTTCTTCAGGCAGTGAAATTGGTTGAGGAACAGTTGGTGCTAAATTTATACTAAATTCAGGCGCGATGGAAATTGCATTCGTTAAATAAGAACCTTGCAAGGGAGATTCTTGCAAAATACTTGGTTCTGCTAGTTTGGGCGATGGGGGTCTTTCCTCAACTTTTGATATTGGGGGAGTTTTTGGTGGACTAACAGTATTTCCATGTGATTGATCATCTGTTTTAGTTTGAATTTCGAAGGAACAATCGCATGGCTTTGGACAGAGACATTCAGTTAGGTGAAAAGGCACTTCTGGAGCCGTTGTTAATGCACGAACCATAGGGTTAATCCATTGTTTGGGTGTGGGGTTTGGTATTTTAGTAGGGGGTATTTGACGAACGGGAGCTATTTCAATTTTGATTTCTGGTGTGGGTTGAAATATACGTTCACTCTCAAGTATTTGATTTCGATTTGATATCACTAATTCATCTTTTTCATTTTCAATAATTGTGGTACTATAATCTGCTGGCTCCATTTCTTCAACCTTTTGTAAATCTTCACGTAATGACTGAGATTCTAACTCTATTTTTTTCTGAACTTTTTCAATTGATTCATACTCTAAGATCGGTTCAAGCTCTTTTATCTCAGGTTCGTCAACAAATACAACATGCCTTGGAACTTGTGTGCTGGGTGGAGGAATAGGACTAGGTGTTACTTCTCTTACCAAATCGACCAGCTTATATGTGCTCAGTGGCGCAGCTAATGAAACAACACATTCCTGTGCACTACGACGGCCTGACATATGTTCCGAGGCTGTAAGACAACACTGCTTTTGTTGCATTGCTGCAACTTCCAAATCCATGTGATAATCTAATTCCGAACCTGATTGCTCATAGGCTTGCTGCATTTGATAAGCTTGAACTTGTGCAGCATACATACGTTGATATTCTTCTGATGTTGTAGTAGTCGTAGTACTTGTAGAAGTATAACTATCTGAGCTAGACTCAAGCTCATGCGTTTGTATTTGACTTGTTAACTGAGGTGCTGAACGACTTTGCCAATAGAGTTGTTGCTGTTGTTGTTGTTGTTGTTGTTGCGCTTCAGTTAGTTCAGTTTTCGATTCAGTCATTGAAGGTTGTGATTTCTCTCCAACAGAACCCGGTGGTACAGGAGGTGGTTGTTCTAAAGGTTTCGTAACTACATGTTGAGTTTCGGGTGGTGCTATATATAATGGAGCTGCAGTTGGTAAATTGTGGCTATCATCTTGTGGTGGGGGCCAAACTAAGTTCGTAAGAGTCTTGCGTTCAGCTAAGACTATTTCCTGCTCAATTTCACAGTACTCTTCTGCATATTGCGGTTGCAAGCTTTCTTGTATGTCTAAGGTGGATCGTAAGTAAATGTTGGACAGCAGATTTGGAGGTTTTACAGGAACAAGGAACAAATTTTTTTTATTGTATAAAGCACGCGTGTTTGAAAAAAGATTTGATGGGTTCATTTTTACATAGAGGGTGTACAACAACAGAATTTCAATGGAAGTGATGGAGGTTTTAGTTAATGTTTCATGGCGTTAGTTAGTCAGGTTAGATTTAACAGATATGTGACACAAAATGTGCAATTTGTTAATGCCATTTTTGTGTTGGTTTTTAATGTTTAAAAGTAAAGAGAAATAAAAACATTGTTGCATGTTAGTTTTGCTTCTATAAGCGAGGCAGCGATTAACAAAAATTAACAACTAAGCAAGTAAATTTTTAATATATTTTAATTAGAACAAATGTAAATGATAATTTCATATACGAGTCTGTAAGGTTCTGAAAAAGTAGTGCCTTGGAATGGAGGATGAAGTATTTGAATCTGAGTCTGAAGCTAAATGTGCTGTGATTATGTTACCGGACCCGATAAATAGAAAATCAAAGATTTCTTGCCAAATTATTAGTATAGTTCTTAAAATTTAATGCAGAATATACTATACTTAATTAATAATAAAGTATATTTAAAAAAGCCAATTGTGAGCACACCTTCCTACACTTCTATATGCAGTATTTTATAAAAGAAAAAATCATATTCTCAGTCTCATAGAAGATAAGTACAGTACATTAGAGCATGTTGGATATAACAAATTTCGAGACCATTTCACAACCCTATCAAGTATTAAGTAAATATTAATATAAAAAGATTTATTAGAATTAGAAAACAATGAATGAGTTGTCGTTGACCCCGATATTTCAATCGTCCTAAAGAATGGTTGAAAAGATGGTGTGGTCAAAATTACTTTGAAGAGTTTTGATATTTAATTAAGATCATGTATAGTTTAGGTTTATTAAACTTAAGTTATTAAAATTTCTTAAATTAATAAATAAAATCTATGCATGTCCACCAGCTGTTTTAATAAATGCAATGATGAAGTTAGTGGTTTGTATAGTATAAAACGGATAATTAAAGGATATTTGTTTAGAGGTTGAATTTTTATGCTGACAACACTGTTTATAGTGGCAATCAGATTAACAATTGACGATTAATTCGTTTTAAGTACGTTTGAATAAAATTTAACATGAATAGATTTTGATGGGATCTTGATAACCTAATGGGCTAGTGAAACCACGCTTGATTGGTTTGATTGGCGATAGAGGTATCTCTTATGCGCAAGAGTTGCTTAGATGGGTTAATAAAAGAGAATCATTGGACCATATTATTTAAAGCTATTGGTCAGAGCGTCACAATCAATAAATAGTATTTAAGGCTCATGAACAATTACTTTTTGTTGCTTAATTAATAGCTTAAATTGATCGTCATGATCGTGAGGGCTTACTTTTTATAGCGATATGTGATAGATTATATCATTTTATAAACCCAACTTGTTGGAGAAGTTTGAAGATAACATTCGTGGAATTTATAAAACGAATAACTTAGAAACTGTCTTTTCAGTTTGTCTTGAGTCAGTATATAACTTCACGTATGTATCAGGACTCACTCGACCATGAATAATATGCAAATATCTTTTCAAAACAGCTTTTTTAATGCACATTACTTCGACTTAAAGTGATTTTTTTACAATAGGAAACAAACGTTTTCAAAAAAAGTGCCCTCTACATATAAAGAATGGAATGTATTATTTTGACTCTCGGAGTAAACAGTGCCCCCACAAAAGATACTAGAAACACTTTTCAATCATAATCTTATAACCACTCTACTTTGTCACAATATGCATTTGTCTTTATGTATACTTCCGGTCTATATATATCTGAGTATATGTATACGACTATATAATGCAAAGGAACATACGAACTGAATAAGTGAATACTGAATAGTAAGTATATGGATAGCAATAACTATTATAGAAGGGTTTGAATAAAATGAAAAGACAGTAACAAAAATTTTAGTTTGTTGTTCTCTTTGCATTTCTATTCGAACCCTTCTAATTTTCAAATAAAAGTCGAAAGTGACGCGTTTAATGACGAGTTCTATTAAATTTCCTATTTATTTCGCAAATATGAATATTTTTTTAAAATATATTTGTAAAAAAGATGCACATATTTCTTCTTCTTCTAAGTAAATAAAAATTAAATTAAATTTAATTAAAATTTTACTTTAGTTAAGCAAATTTGATATTAATTAGAAAGCAATGAGTGTAGCGACACTACACCGCGTGACAAACAATAATTAAGTAAAGACATGCAAATCTCTAAGATCCTTAGAATTAGTAGTTACGATATTTAATAGAAAATATAAATTAAATCAGAACAAAGTGATGATCTGTATGCAGTGAGAGTGTATGGCTGCATACTGCCGTGTTAGCTTGTCTTAGTAAATAGTTTTTTTTGAAAATTAACCAAACAATACAATGAACTTATTGTTTTCTCCATCGCATATATCCGAAGGACATATAAGAGTTTATTGTGTAAATCAAATTAACAATTAAAATATGAATTCATCACGAAGATGAAAATTAGTAAGTATTTTTAAAAATTGTAATCATCGGTTCGCTTGAAAACCGAAACCGCTTGAAAGGATTCGCCACGTAACCACTTTAAAATTCTACAAACTGTCGTCCTTGTGAGTTTGCATGTTGGATTTCGTTTGCATGTGTGAAAATTGGATATCGTTTTGAATAAACATAGAATGGATGAATTTTAGTAAAGGTAACCTAAAAGAAGAATTCAGAAAAATATTTGCATTAATATATAATTTAATATTTACATTTGCTGGCAAAATAAATTTTAAAAAAAATAAGAGCATAAATTGTTTTTTAATGTACAAAAAATATTCACATCAAAAAAGATCTAATCCAAAATCATGAAGAGATTAAAAGCACTTATATTTACAGAATTCCGGATGTAGTGGAGAAGAGCTGTAAATATGCATTCGAAACTCTTGAAAATAAAACTAATTCAGCAAAAATACATTGTATCCTGTTCCTGTTTGGAAAACATTTCCTCAGGGTACTAATACTGTCTAATTCATCTTTTTTCCATTGTAAACTTCAACTTCATTCAGACGAAAATTTGTTGTGAAATTTAGGAGTGTATTTACATATTCATTGTATTAAGACAGAGCGAATGAAGCATACCCTTTGAAAGCATTGGGATTTAATAAATAATTGCGGTTTCGCGTGCTCTCAAATGGATATTTTCTTTTATATTTTTTTAATGAATATATTTTTAAATAAAAACTTATGAAAAAATGAGTTTTTTTTAGAAGATTTATGGAATTATAACTTATCTATAATGTAAATTTAGAGTTCGTATAAGAAAATTTATCTTCATAAATATGAACTTTTATATACAAACAAACTTCCACAACTCAAACTTCTATAACTCGAATTAAATAAAGTGCAACAGGGTTCAGAGAACAATCAACATACAATCACAAAAAAAAATCTTTAACTCGAAGTTTCCATAAGTCGAACTATAAAAACTTATAATATAAACTCCATCTAGTGTAAATTAGTATACATTTGCTATATTAAATAGATTAACCAAGGTTGGATTAACTTTACTTAACACCTTAAAGTAGAATATCTTAATCTGACCTGGATAAAAAATTTTTTATAAAACCATTATATGAAGGAAGAAAACAGTGCTATGGAATTTAAATCTTTGAGTTCTACAGCAACTATGAGACAAGACAGTTAATCAGGACTAGCTTACTTAATGGTTGAGAAGCAATTAGCAAATTGGTGCCTACTTAAGTAAACAAACTTTAAGCACATAAAAATATAGTTCTTAGAACGTTGGTGAAAGCGCGTTCTAAAGTGTTAAGAAACGTTTCAGTTGATATGAAAACTAAAAGTGTTAAGAAATATATATGGAATAAAGCTGTCAAACTCTTCGATATTTTGGAAATTTTCCAGAATGGAGATTAAACTTATTAAAAACTGCCAAAACTTTTATCAAGAGAACGAGATAAACTGGATTTTAAAGTCTGAAATCAAAAAATTTACTCTTATTTAAAAGTTAGAAGAATTCAAATAGAAATGAAAAGACAACAACAAAAATTTTAGTTAATTTATTAAAGTACTCTTCATCAGCTGTACAAACTTAGCAGCCTTAGCTACTTGTGGCATATGATTAGTCATCGCTTCTAATTTGACAGGCACAAGTTCTAAGCCTTACACTTGCAGTCCAAAAAAATTATATTCGTACTATAAACTAATTAAAAGATTCAAATATTTCTTACGACCACTGATGATGAGTTCTTAGCAAGACTCGAAACAGCGTTATATGATCAGTCAAATTTCAATAAATTAATCAAAATTTTTGTTGTTGTTCCTTCATTACTGTTCGAATCCTTCTTAATTTAATTTAATTATTGGACACCAGGTCTCATGTATTCTATATCTTAAGCCGATTTTTTACAGCATGAAAAGAGAGTGGAAGATTCTATACAAACTAACTACTTCCATACTTAAAACACATACAATATAGTACTTTAATAAGTCTTAAATAGCAATCCACAGATACTTTATTTTGCTTTATCGCATTTCGCGTAAATAAATATACATAAAAGAGTAAATTGAGTTTTCCTTTCCTTAAACGACAGAGAGTAGTTTTGGTTTCGCTGAAATGGGTATGAACGTTTTTTTAAGCAAATTGTAATAATTGATATACAAATATTAAATGAAAATTCAGTGAACATGAAAATAATCGAAAATACTGAATATTTTCCCCCAACTCACGCAGTACGGACTGCCTTTTGTTAATATTTTTTTGTCATTATTTATCAGTCGACAGGAAATAAAAAGAACTCGTGCGGTTTGTTTCATCAGGATTGCGAATGTATTTTTTGAATCAAGTAAAGTATATGAATGCACAATTTCATATTTATTGAATTAATTTTCACTCACTGAAGGATCAGGACAATAAAAAAAATACTCATATATAAAGAGATATTTACTCAATTGTTGCAAATAAGCAAGTAGAAAAATATATTTTAATTTATTAATAAATGAAATGATATGAAGCTTTAATGGATACATCTTTACTTAAGTGTTCGTTATGGAAATTAAATATAATTACAAATTGAATTAATAAAGACTTCATTTCAGTTAAAAATTAAAATGGAAGTTGGATGAAGATTATGATAAATACACTCTTCACTTTTGTACTGAGTTGAGCTACTCATTTATCGTAGCTTTAGTAGCTTTTATAAGTGCATCAATTTCATTTCATTATTTTGGTTGTAGAAGCTTTTGTAATTATAGTTAAGGGATTGTTTAAATACATAGTAAATTAGTAATTATGACAACTATATATCTCACGTTCCTTACAAACAAACTTTCAACAAGAAATTTTCTTCATCTCTATTGTATTTCTAAGCACTTCATAAACACTATCACTTCACAATCACAAGCCGTTAGTGTTAATCCAATTCAAACGTAAAATACAAACGTAAATAATAAAATGGAAGAATAGAAAGAATATATAAGCAAGCCATCAAGCCAACTTTGATATCGCTTTTAGTAATTTTGCTAAAGTTGCCCTTGAGGAACTACCACAAATTCAAAACGCCACCCTTAGAAAGTTATTCCATATTTGCTGATATGTCAGAAACTCTGATTTTTGTAAAGATCCCTCTATTGAAACTATCAACAAATATATAAAAGTAAGATCACCTAAATTATTTAGGAAAAGATATGGTCACTTCAACAGTTCATTAAAGCTTCGGTTAGAAGTATTTAAGCAACGGCCGCAAGATTTGTTGATATCCCTTCTCTAATATTTTCAACAAATTGTGGTGCTACAATAGAATTGCTGCAGATTATTGGGTTTTCCAGTATCGACAAAACGACTGCTGTCAACCTAAAATACATAATAATTTACCAAATATTTGAAAACTATTACAAAATTCGCCAATGAAGAGAAACGTTGTTTTTACGAATATAAACAACAGAAGTGCTAGTTAACAACATTAAAAAAATTTTGAAAATATTATGATTAACCTTTACTTTTAAGACCTTTATAAGTTTGTAATGAAATTTATTAATAAACAAAGTTATTGTTTATTTAGCCCAAAACATTACTTTCACATAAATATTTTATATGTTGAGAGTGCCATGTAACAGCACTAATAAAGCATAGAAATATCTAAAAAAACCTTTATACAAACTTTAACAAAATTAGACAATACAAATATTATGGTGTGCTCACAATTCTGCATTAAACCACAATTTTTAATGATTTCATAAATATTTTTCTGTTATCGTTTAAATGTGATTGAAGGTTTAATTTGGTTTGCTATAGCAAAACGTTATTTGTGCTATAAATAATTGTTAAAAAATTATCTGAAACAACGCTGAGCGAGTTTTTTTTTTTTTAAATGCCTACGTTATGTCTTCGCAGTAATAAATTTAAACAGTTTTAGTAAAACTTGCAGCTGAGAAAAGTTTTTGATAAAAAACGCCAAACCGCGCTTAAAAGCCTTTAACTATACTAGCTTTTGGTCTAGGCTTTTACCTCGATTGTAGTTGTTATAGTTGCCGATGCTGTTATTGTTGTAATGAGAAGAATTGTACGAAGGCAAAGTGGAGTACTTATTGGGTCCGGGGGACTTTCTGAATTGTTGTGTATAATTTTTGTTGCTGTAATTGTTGTACGAATGTACACTGCGACCTACAAATTGCATTTTAATTGTTTCATTTGTTCTTGGCGTACATATTTTTTATATATATTTTTATATATTTTTTTATATTTTTTGTGCTTAATCACGTACATAAAAACTATTATTGTTGTGTTGTGTGTTGTATGTATAAATTTGTTTTGGGTTTAGCATTTATACAATTTGCATAAAACATACAATTTACACGGAATAAAAGTATTTATGTTGGACAAATGGTGAACGCAAATATTGTTCGCTTTTATTATAAATTTTGTTGCATACACTTAGGCTGGTTAGTAATATGAAGCATTGCCGGAATTGAGTTTTTGTTTTTGTAATCGAAAAAGTTTTTAGTAAATTTTGCTTGCAACAAAAATTTGCTTCGTTTTCTTTTTTGTTAAAATTTAAAAACTTAAATTTATTTCAAATATTTATACATAAATATATTGTAATTTATATACACATATGTATAAAAACATGTGGTAAATAATTATAAAAGTTATATAGTATATATTGAATATTGCATGTAAAAGTAGCAGTTTTACGCAAACAATAAAATTATTTAATATCACTGCTGCTACTTTCAATGCATCAATTAAAACACTAATAAGTATAAATATATATCACTATTCTCTTGTATTTTGTTAATAATGGATATACGTTAAACCCAATCACTTTCAATTAAGTAATCATCGTCATCCTTACCTTGTTGTCCAACATTGGATCTAGGCAAAGTAGCATAAGGATTGCTAGCGGGTTTTGGTGCCTGTTGTTGCGGTGGTGAAGCCCATTGTTGGGGTTGGGGTGGATAAGAGATTGGAGACTTTGGTGCAGCTGATGGTGGGGCAGCACCGAATGGACGTGCATAACCTTGATTAACCTTTAATTCAAAAAACAAAAGAAAAAACACAATACAATAAAATCTATTTCGCATTTCAAGTTATGCATTGGCTAAAATGTCTATAAACATTTGTTTGCTATTCGCAAATGTTTATAAACATTTGAGCAATAGTTTTTTTGTTATTATTAGTTAACAACAAATTGACATATTCAACAACAACATGCTGTGCTTGGACTCAGTTTATTTTGTTCGTACTTGCTATCAATTGCATTGAAGCTTTTGGCCTGATCTTGAACTTACCTTATAGTTGATGCTTCCACCCTTACCAGGCGGCACTACACTACGAATCACATTCCCAGTCAGTGTGACATATTCGAATGGTTGATCACCTGATGCAGAAAACGACGGCTGAGCTATATTCGCGGCATTGGTATTGATCTGCCCGTAAATCGATTGATCATTATTCTCAAAAGTCGCTGCCATATTCGCTGTGGTGTTGTCTTGTTTAATAATTTCCGCAAGCGGTGCTTGAGCTACTGTATTTGCTGCTGATGTTGCTAAAGGATTTGCAACCTGACATGGATTAAATTTCAATTGATTAGCAAGCGCTGCTGACACTGCAGCAACATTCGTTGTTGATGACGCGGGTGTATGTGTGGTTGTGTATGGCTTGGCGGTGCCGTTAAACAAGTTATTGTCGTTGTTATTCAAAATATTTGTGTGATTAATGTTATTCTTGTTGTTGTTTTGTGTTGCTGTTGAATTAATACTATTATTACTATTATTAATATGGTTGTTATTGTTATTTGTGTTTGCTTGTGACAACAATTTATTGGAATACTCTTTCAAAAATTTATTATACACCGTATTTGTGGGTGCATGTAAGCCAGCAACATTCTTGTTGTATGTATTCATGTCGTTCTCGTTTTGCTGCAACATTTTACTGTTGCCATTGTGGTCATGAATTTTGTTTGCGCTTATATACAAATTGGCTTCATTTTGATCCATTGGCATTGGTGGAGGCGGTGGGGGTAATGAGGCAATGTAATTGTCAGGTGTAGGGGACGACATTGACGAGGTAAGTGAAGAAGCCGACGAAAGCGATGACAGACTGCTGTGTGTATGTGTGTGATTATTTTGATTGTTGGCATAGAATTGGCTATCATTTTCAAATTGTTGTAATTGTGTTGGTGAGGGTGGTGGGGGTAGAGAATAATCGGCGATATCCTCTTGCTGTTGCGTGGGCGATTTTGAGTTAGTAATTGCATTATGTTAGGAGGCAAACGCAGGGCGCATTCAAAAACATTAGCGAGTGCATTAAAAAAAAATTAAATTAAATTAATTAAATAAATAAAAATATAATTTGCTAAATTAATAGTAATTAATATTTAAAAAAAAATTGCTGTAAATACTGTGTTGTGATAATTATTTGAACAAATAATTATTTGTGATAATTATTTGGCAGTGTTAATATTGTTTTGATTCCATTTTATTATAAAATTTTTTTTTTTTTTTAGTACAAAAAGAATTAATTTTTTTTATTTTTAGTAGAAAAAAAATTTGTTTTCGGCATCAGTTTTTTTTTTTTAGAAATTATAGTATTAGACATTAACATCTGTTTTTCGCAAATCATCATCATCAGAAATATTATTGAAATGAATAAGTACAGTCCTATAAAGTACAAACAAACTCCATAGTCTTAATTGACATCCACTAAACCTGCCAAAATTGAATCTGCAACCCACTTCGTTTTTAAAGCTTTATGTTTTTAGCAATAAAGGGTTAAGTTATGGTTAATAAAAACAAATGGTAAATATTCTTTCAGCAAACTTGCTACGAATATGTAAATATACATTTTCGCATTATGTATCGCCTTCAAAATCTCCTCCTTCAAGTATTTTTCATATATTTCATAAAACTTTCATAAAAAAGAAGCCGTCTAGAATAATATTAGAATGATAGAATGATCAAACTGCAGCAAACTTTCTTTAAACAAAAAAATATATATTTTTTTTTTGAATAACCTCTCATAAATGCCACGTTTTCATTATTCAAAAACCGGCATTCTGAATTGTTCTTCATATAAAATACCACTTCTTCACTTTAAGCAATGGAATACATACAAATTTGTTACCAGAGGCGGAGACTCGCTTAAGGGAGGAGAGACTTTTTGAAGCATTTTATGATTTTTTTAAACTTCAAATGAAAGCATGAATCAAATCTCCTAAATTAAGTATAAAACTGTCCCAAGTGTTTTGATATTCTAAAATGAATCATCTTCAAGACGTTCAATGTTAGCGTCTATATAACCCTGCTAGGGTTGAATTACAAAAGCTCCACTTTTATATACCACAACTTATCACTGTTGATGAATTTAACATATGCCATAATCTCCAAGACTAAATGGCTTGCAGATCAATTATTTCAGAATATATAGGAGATTGAAGAGATACTAATTTAAGTTGAGATATAATATGTACTGTGTTCTTCGTAGATTTAGAAACTTTATAATAATTATATATATATATTATATACATATATATATATATATATATTGAAATTGTTTAGGGACTTGAAATTCAAACTATACGGATATAGATCAAAGTCGAAAAAATTGTTCAGTATGACGAACTTTATACAAATCCAAACGAAATAGCTGATCCCAATTATAAAGAACCTCTATTTGATATATAAAATATGTTATCCGATGGGCATATTTACCTAGTTGTTTTGAAATTGACGTTTTTGTCACTGAAACTTTTTGTATTTACTATTATTTTTAATCTTTTTTATAACTAAAGAAAAAGGATTTATTGGCAATTTACGGGAAATCTGCCATAAACTCACCCATATACGTAACTTTAGCTTGAACCATAGGTATACTTTACTCTATTTACAACAGAAAGACTGTGTACTTCTATCTGAAGCAAAATATGGCTTCTCTTTTTTCTTAATTTTTTTATAATTATGTTTGCTGGATAACGCAATAAATTATTTTTAAATTTTTGTTCATATTAATCTTTTAATGAAATATAAGTATAAAATAGGTGTAAGAGAAAACGATTATCAGGGCTAGGTATGCAGTTACAGTTCTTCCGGTCGCAGTGAAATCTTATGCTCACGTCATCGTCATATGTGAGCTGTTTATGGTCAGCTTGAGCAACTTAGAAAGCCAAATGGTAATTAATTTATATGAATCACAAGCTCACAACTAACGAGAGAAAGAGAGGGAGAGAGATAGAGCGAGGACGAATTATTGTGTTTGCATCGACCTAATCGGTTTATTGATTTACTATAAGCGGGCTTGCTAATCTGAGAAAAATTTTTCCAACTTCTATATGGGACCGTTTCGTTTGCTCTTCTTATGGGTTATGCGCCCTCTCAATGATCTAATATTATTCATAGTAGGAGTTGGAGTTGTGGTTATATCTACATTTCTAATATATGAAAAAGCAATTGATTGATTTTATAATTCAATAAATTATAATTCATAAGACATAAATTTGTTTTACCATTATTATTATGCGCGACAAATTTAAAAATTATTTATATATATATATATATATATATATATATATATATAATCTAATTATAGGTGAACAATTTACAAAAAAAATAGGAAATTTCCAACTATGCCAGCAGAGTTAATGTTATAGGTCAAGGTCAATATATTTATTTATAGGATTACAAAACAAAAATTTATTGCTGGTATCAATTTTATTAAGAAATTAAAATTTATTTTTAAAAAATTTGTTAAGAGTATTCCAAGAATTGTTTAAAAAAAGGATTTTTTTTAAAAGTTTTTTTTTTCCGAAAGTTATTATATAATTCTTCGTCAGTGTTTGTAGAATATACTTCAAACTTTTTTTTTAGGTTATAGAATATTGGTTCGTTTAAGGATATTTCGAGTTCTCTTAATGTTTTCCGTTTTTCAATTCAAATTCATAATAAAATTTCACTTTTCGAATATTTTTATTTTCTTGCGACTATTTCATTGTTTTTTTTTGTTTTTTTCTTTGTCAGAACACTTAATATATTATTAATTATTTTTATATATAAATTAAGTCACAATTCGCTTTAGTGTCCGCTATGACGGACACCATCCGAACACGTTAAATTCAGACTAACCGAAAAATCGCAAAAATTTGGATTTAGCAAAAAAGGTTTTATTTGCCCGAAAAGTGCAACGTAAGTATTTTTGTAGTGCGACTGCAAAGATGCAGTTTTTTATGTGAGTAATTGCATAGTTTAGTATTTTTATTTTCCCATATGTATTTATTTATTTCAAATAGTAAAAAATAAATACTTAAAAATACAATTTAATACAACTAAAAAACATAAAAAATTTGCACGATTGCAAAGAAATGGAATACGAGTCCACAATGAGACATCATTTTTTATGCTATTAAAAAGCAAAGTCGCGTAATTCATGGGTGTAGTTAGGGGGAGCGTAGAGGGTGTCCACCTTAAAGTGTGCCGAAAGTTATATTTTATGGCAAAAAGAAATCTCATGGTTTAATGAAACAAGCTTCCTGAGATGTGATAGATCGATTACAATAATTGGCGAACAGTTGTTGTTGTGATTATAGCCTGTGTGTGAAGAAAACGAATTATTTAGGAATATGAATGGATAAGTGATTGAGTGAGATTTAAATTGAGGTAAACCACCATTAAGATAACAAGCCACTACTGTGGGTTGGTTAAGAAAATCGTTTGCACTCAAGTTTTTTACATTCATTTGTGTAGAATTTGGCGGACAGACGATATTGCCTTTTTGATAACTAATTAGTTTTTCAATAAACTATATAATAAAAGGTACGAATTTCTATATTTATATTTCTCATCAGTTTTTATCAACAAAAATTCTTTAAATTAAGCCTCCTCCTCTCCACTTTTTGACTACACCTATGGCGTACATTTCAATATATTTACAATTGCAGATAGCAACGGATTTCAAGGAGCGACTAATGATCGAGATACAGTGGATTTAGTATTGCGCCCCGATATTGATCGTACCAAACAACACTGCTTATGTTGATCTGAGCAATTGGCATAATACAAAATCTTTTCATTACACAAAATTCTTGCAGTTCGAACTACTTTTTTAAAAATATTGGCAAAAATATCTCTCTTGTACATAAACAAATTTATTTTTGTAATAAAATAAAATGTGCCAACAAAATAAGAAAATAATCGAAAATAAACTTTTTCACACTATTTTTACATTAGACACAATGTTTACAGCAAATTTCTTAGCAGCTATTTTGACACGAGCAACATTTACAAAATGTTGCTGGCGTCATTAGTGGCTAAACATTTTGTTTACTCCAAATATCAAAGACAAAATTATTAAATGTAAAAGCATAATTAATTACTATAAATTTTTAATATAATAACAACCAGGTTTTTAAATATTTTTTTAAAATGTTTCTTTAAATATTATTTAAAAATTTTTTTAATATATATAAGTATTTTTTAAATTTTTTTAAATATTATTTAAATATTTTTTTGAGTATTCTTAAAATATTTTCAAATTTTTTTAAATATTTTTTTTAAATATTTTTAAAATATTTTTTAAATATATTTTTAAATATATTTTTTAAATTTTTAGAAACATGCTTTAAAATATTTTTTTAATATTTTTTTAAATATTTTTTTAAATATTCTTTTATATATTTCTTAAAAATATTTGTAAAATTATAAAAAAAAATTTTTTTATATGCATTTTTAACATATTTTCATATAGCATAAATGGCTTTAAGCAACATGTGAGCCATGGCTTGCAGTATTTTAAGCGCATTCAACTGTAATATTAACAAAAAAAAAAACAAAAACAACATAGCAACAAAATACAAATTATTTGTATAAACAAACACACAATTAAATAAAATACACACACACATATGGAAAAATGCTTACACAAAGCAAAGACACTTTACAGCCAAAGCCCTTATTTAAAACGTATTTATTGCATTTTCTGTGCTGCTATTCTTTCTGTTCTTTCTGTAAACATTTCTGCATTGCCTTGCATGTTGCAGCAACAAATATTATCGTTTCATTTCAAAAAGCAATTTTTTCTCGTAAATTTTAATAATATTTTTATTGCACAAAAATCTACTAAAAAGCCACGTTTTCAAAATGTTTATCAAAGCCAGCCTTCGTTCATTATTCATTATTCATTTTCTGTTTTTTGTTTTTCTGTTTTACTGTTTTCCCCTTTGTTTCTTATTTAAATACGAGCTTCAGGTGTTCATTTTGATATAAAATGAATTCATTTCGGAATATCTTTTGCCAGTGTTAACAAATTCGTTTGCATTGGTATGCGTGTGCACTTTTGCTTGTGTTAGTGTGTGTTTGCTCGGTTGGTATTATACAATATTCTGTTAGTATAAAATATTCCATTCATATTGGGTTAAGTGTACAAAGTTTACTTACCGGTGCTGGAGCTGGTGCCGGAGTTGGAGTTGAGCTGCCATTGGACACACCATTGAATCCATGTGCGTTCAGAGCAGATGAAATGGTGGTGGCACTCAGTTTGGTGTTGCTGCAAATATGTGAAGTTGATTTAATAAAATTAAAAATTTTCGTTTGAGAAAATTAAAGAATAACACAAAATACTAAATAAACTAAATCTAACACTGCTCTTGTTGCATTTCATAACGAATTGCACAGGATAACTCAATTTAAACTCATTGGCTGAAATTCGCCAGTGAGCGACCTATGGGTCTATCCATAGGTTCTTAGCAATATCAGGTAGACTTAAACCTTTATGTATGTAGAACCTGAACTGGACATTTTAATAAGTTTAAGAAGTGCTTAAAGTTCCTTCCTAAAATAAAGCCACCAAGAATTTTGAAAGACTTCTTAAACCGTCTTTTTAGACAAACGTCGGTGGGATTTGAACGCAGATTTGTGATCTCTAGTTATAATCTACATGAACCGTACTGTGCGTACTTAAGTAGTGACAGATAGAAACTGATAAATATTTTATACAAAAAATAGAAGAGATAGCTAAGTTTAATATAGTTGACAGTAAGCAATACATAGACCGAGACCGATTGTTCCGTAGTGATATCAGACAAAGTTAGGTCTCCATATATAATGGAATCAGTAGTAGATATTTTTGTGAATTTTAGAAATACTTAAAAGTCACAAAAAAAGCACCAAACATTTTTGTACCAAAATGATCTGATAAAGAACCAAAAGAAAGAGCCATCAATCATTTTTTCAAGAATTCTTAAAGTGTGTTTTTAGACCAGATCTTTAGATGATTTAAGCCCAGATTTATATTGCATGCTATGCTTTTTTAAATGGCGGCATAGCTTTTTCTTCTGTCCAAATAGTGCATATGTGAATTGTTGTCAAAATCATTTTGACAGTTTAGAGTAGGAAGGTGAAGTGAAGGAAGGTCGAAACCTATTGTATTAGCTAGGTATACTGTTTGGATCCCACAATCGTGTAATTTTCGACATAAGGTTGAGCAAATCAGTCTCAGTCAGGTTGAGCAAATCAGTCTCAGTCAGCCTTAGATATATTAACGACTGTAAGTATTTAATTAATTTTAATGCTACATATATAACTGAATCAGTTGAAGCATGGGGTGCCGAGAAGCTTAGGTTTGAATATGGATAACCCCGGCAGTAATACAACAGATATTCTGATGTCTCCTCATTGAGCGTCAGAAAATACGATCTACAAGATTTTCGACGAAGTAGCGCATAAGTACCCTTTTATTAACAAATAAATAAAATAGATATTTCTTGCAAGATTTATGTTTGAGACTTATAAAGAAAGTATATAATTTCTCTTGGCCCCTACAGCTCTTGCACCTTGTTATCAACACTGTTTATGCATCACACGAGTACTTTTAAAAAAATTATTTTTGATGAAACTTTCATTTCACTTAAAATCCATTTTGCCTTCATTATTTATATTCTTATAGTCATTTCGATAGGTAGGTAGATAACCTGGAGCTGGATAAGAGTGTGGACATTAATACAATAGATGTTAGGATGTCAAACATCGTGGAGCGGCAGAAAAATCTACAAAACTTTTGACATTGCGTGCCCAGCATAGCTTCATATTATCTCATTTTCCAGTGTTCTGTATTGATACTTCAAGCTGTTATAAATTAGGCAATGGCAAGCTCGACATATTATTGGTGTCTCAGAATAAATTAACATACTTCTAGTGGGATGCTCATCAAAATTTCCATTATGTGTATAGTTTTGACATCACATCATCAAATAATTGTTTGTTTTAATCTCTAGACTGGAGTCTCACTAACACAATATTGATCGCAATGAAAAGAACGAACGATGGTAAGAATATTTCTCAGTTTTTCATAATTAAAATGTTTCCAATCATGAGCATAAAACGCCGAATACTTTTTATCCAACCTATCATATGATTTGAAATCATTATAAAAAAAAAAAAATTTAGTTACATGTTAATAAAATTTCACGTCAACACATTCACACTCCAACTGCAATTTTAATTTCAACTATCATCGACATAATCATCATCCTCATAATCATTACATACAGTAACATTATGGCCACCATCATCAGCCAATGTAATTGCCAATTACAAATATTAAAATTAAATTTTTTTTGCCAATTGCAAATGCAAATAAGCGGCTATAAGTCAAAATATTTATGTGCGTGTAAGTTTATTGCATCGCCTCTTCTGCATTGCCAATCAACCTTTCTTTGTTTGCATGTAAACAAATGTTGCCATTCCACTTTGTCAACCTTAACGCACATTTGCAGAGGCAATGAGGCGTGCAGCTTTGTTGCCAACGCCGCGGCCGTGACGAGGCATGTAAATAACAGCATTGACATATCATGACAACAGCAGCGGTGGCGCAGCGGTGGCGCAGCATATTGACGCTCTCAATGGAAATAATTAAATAAAATCGAATTTTTATTTCAACTGCCAATATTTATTGAAAAACACCATAAATTATATAAATTACTCCTTCGAAAATGCCTCTCATTTGATTTATTAAAACAATATGTGTAATAAATTGTCGATAAAGCCCGAAATGTTTTAAAAATTAAATTAATTAATTTGATTCAAGCAATTGCAAGAATTACTGTTGCATCAATGCCTCATGTAAAATGGACAAATTGCGAGACAAACGCATAATTACATCTCACCGAAGGAGCAAAAATAATTGTCAATAATTAATGCAATATACATACTTAATGGGTACAATACTACAATAATTGAGTATTTAATTTTATACTGAAATATGTGTGGACTAAGAACAAGTTTTGACATCTATTTTGTAGAACACTTGAGTTAACTGCTATTGAACTGGTTGATACCAACAGCAAGCATAGATTACCAGACTTATCACATAGATAAGATCATTGTCTTGTCACCATTGCAAGGTCTTGTTGATTATCTAACTTATTGTGAAATAGTCTTTGTTATTAACTGCGTATATACTTAGAGAGTGAGGTGTTTAGTTGGTGAGAGGATTCCATCACTTCATTCATCATCTTTTTGTAACTACGACCCCGCCCTGTTTCACTTTCTTGTCATCAGAAAAATTTGCAGTGATCCTATTAAGAACTACTTATGTTCTTAAGACTGAGTTCTCTAGTTGCCAAGACGATTTCATTATTCAATTCATTGTCTAATCACTATTGTGATGTCTTACTGATTTTCTGTCTTATTGTCAAAAAATATTTGCTGCAGTGCTATTAACTACGTATGTACTTAGAGAGTGAGGCAACTAATTGTAAAGAGGATTCCATCATCCCATTCATCATCTCATCCCATTTTTGAGACCTTACAGTTTATCTGCTGCATTATTAGAAAATTTTTAAAGTAACCCTATTGAAAGTTATTTATGCCTCCTAAAGGTGGGGGATTGCTTGTATTGTTTCAATATCCTACTTTAAAACACTATCAATCTATTCAAAAAATATTTACTGCAGTCCGATAGACTACATATATACTTTGGGAGTAAGGTGGTTACATCTCACCCGGCTTCATGACCTTCCCCCCGACGTCTCTACTCTTCTCACTCTTTCAGAAGACCTTGTTCTAGCTTTGCGATATAAGCCCCCCCAACACCTAACACACTACTTCGATGAAGTGGACCATAACCTCTCTACTATCCCCTTATATAACCGCGGCTTTCGTGACCCTAGTCACAAAGTATACTGTTGATTCAACCCCCGCTAGTTAGCCGTAACCCCTTCCCCTTCTATATCGTCCTTTCTACCTAGTTCATGCCCTTACTTTCTGATTTAGAAGAGCCTAGTTCACTAGGTATTAAATCTTTTCTCTCTATTAAATCTCTCTCCCATGATTACTGGAATGAAGTTTCCACATTGCTGTGGAAATCTTCTCCTTTTATTCCTAAGAGGTGGTTTACTTCAGAAGAGGGTTCCATCATTCATCGTTTTTTCATAATTGTGAATTCTTACTGTCTCTGTGTTTTATTATCAAAAAACGTTTGCTGATGTCATATTGAGAATCAGGTATGCAAAGTGAGGATGTGTTAGCTCATTACCAATAAGTCTTCTTTGGCTCATCACAATTGCAAAGTTTTATTGATTTTTTTTCTGTTCACCGAAAAATTATTACCTCCCTTGCGAACAAAGTGTCCTCTTATTTGACTATCACTTCCAAGTTGTGGCATAATATATTTTAAACTTTTAAGAATAGTAAAAAACATATAATTTAAACATTATATTCATATTTGTTTGGATTTTTTTTTAAATCGGATTCATGAAATGATGGAGTTGCATTTCGTGTTCCTATTGCGTCACGAGTTTGAGAACTTTCCATAAAAACACGAAAGATATGGTGGCATATCTGTTAAAGCTCTTAAGAAACATTAGTATTGGGACCTTATACTAATGTTTTCTAACGTATTGGGAAGATGTAGGGAATCAATCACGATTTTTGAGATAATCTTTATAGCTTAGAGGGACTTTAATGAGAAAGCAGTACTTCAAAAAAATTCTGTGTTTCAATTTAAAATAATTGATAAAAATTGCTATTTTAAATCTTGGACTATTGCCGTCCCAGTTCTCTCATTTTAGAAATTGTGACTTATCTGTGATCCAGGTATATCGAACAATTTACTTAGTTCAGAAATTTGTAAGACTCAATTCCCTTTTATCAGGTCTGAGCAAAGAAAAGATTCGAGATTCTTAATAATTTATGTGTATTAATAGCAAAGATAAATAATAACCTTAATAACGATTGGAGGATATGAAAGATATGAAGGATTCCAAACAGGCAATAATTGAAAAATATATTTTTTTACTTATCATAAATTCTCTCTAAATATTTTAGACATTGAATTTCTAGGGTTCGAAATTCTTCTATAATTATTTCCTGATGTCGTCACTATTACTAAGTCAAGTAGTTTTAAAGTAGCGTCATCAAAAGTTATATATATAATATATAAGAATATATTTTTATTAAATCAATTTCATCTTTAGGTTTGTTCCGGTAAAGACTTACTGATTAATAAAAATAATTTTATAATTTTTAACTTATTAAAGATTATTCATATATACTTACGGTTTGATTGGTACTGGAACATAACCCTCGGTACCTGCTGGGGGATTTTGCATAGCCGCCAACTTAGCGTGGATATCGCAATAGAGTTTATTGTTGAAGTTGTAGTAACCTTGATTCTTCAAGGAAGTGCCACATGTGGCACACTTGAAACATTCAACATGAAGATTCTTGTCCTTGATGCGTACAAAGACACCGCTGTGAAAATATTTAAATGTTATTAACATTAAGTAAATATAAATAATAATGTAAATAGAAAACTTTAAATTATTAATTAATATTAATGAAGCTATGAAATTGTGATTGTATTAGTTGATGTTTAGTTAACTATTGAAAAGTCGAAAGATTATGTGAAAGATAATTATATATATACAAACAAATGGGGTTTACTGCTATGGGCAACATTGTGTTTGAGGAACCATTAATTCTATCACAGAATAATAAAGTATTATGAGAGTATTCGTGAAAAAAGTGTTCTGCTTCTACAGCGAAAAGCACAGACAATGTAACTGTCCACCGAACCACCGATCCAATATTTCGATATCTATTCAGTTAATAAACGCAGCAAGAAATTGACCTTCAGCCATATTCGTCTGGATCCGCAATGTTTTAGTAGTGACGGATACTTAGTAGCTGGATACAATCATTGCGTATGCAGTTACGGTCGGGTCTGTGTTAAGATATGTGTAAACCCATAGTCGCTGAGATTAGGACGGTCTTGATCCTGCCTTAATGCAAATTTATAAGACAATATATATTGTCCACACAGTTACACTCTGAGATGTAAGTATTCAACATCATCGTATCGCTCATCGAATCGTGTCCCTTATTGGATCGTATCACTTATTATATCATGTCGCATATCGAATAGTATCGCCTATAGAAACTTATCGCTTAAGACTTCAAGCATTTGCTTTGGTCAATGCTACTAGAAATCACAAAACTCCTCAGCCATTTTATTGAATTGAATTGCCTTTAGTGATCTTACTACATACTAAACACTTGTATGTTCATACCATTTAAACACCAGTAACAAATCAACATCACATCATGCTATGCAAATCTGTTTGACCATAAGCAAAACCTAGGACTAAGTATCTTCAATTGCTTTTATATTTTTAAAAGACACTGCTTTGGGCTGTTATGAAGTATCACTGAAGTACGTCACCCATTCTGTTTATTTATTTATTTATTTATATTTATTTTTTTCTTTTTGTAATTAATTACTCTGCTGAATATGTTATATATATGTATTAAATGTTTCCTAAAAAATAGCATTAATACAAAAGATAATTACTCCTTCCACGAAACTAAAAATATCGTATAGAAGGCAGATGCCGATCATAAATATTAACTGAGATACAGGGTCTTAACTAAAAATTAATTTATTTAATTCGTATTAAATAATTCATATTTATAAAAATGTTGTGTTAAATGGATTTTTATCGTCCGATTTAACGAAAGAAACTAAACTTTTAAAACACACTATTGTTTTCAATAGAGAGGTTTTTATCCAATAGTAGTGAATTTGCAACAACAAACTTTTTTTTAATTATTTTTAATTAATTGAATTTTTGGCTAACCATACAGCTGTTTCGAGTATTGCCAAATACCCATCATCAGTGGTCTTGGTATTATTTTTTATATTTAATAATTTGTAACTGATTTTTTATGACTGCAAGTACAAAGGGTTGAACTCGTACCCTGCCAAATTTCAAGTTCAGAGTCAGTGTTCATTGAACAAATGGCTCAAAACCGTACTTCACTTGTATGTTCGAATTTGGAGTTTTGTTAATTTGCTGTGAAAGTTCATTAACAAATTAACTAAAATCCTAAACCAACTATAGAATAATTAATTAATTATAGTTATTTTTTATAATTGTTAAATTTCAATTAACAATTTTTGTAAAAATGTTTATAAACAAATTCTAAATGTTGCGTATGCAGTATCGATATATACATATATTATAATATATTTTACTTATGGTGTATAATTCATTTTTAGGCAATAAATTAATATGAATTATAAAAAAAAATTGTTGTATTTTTTTGCATTATATTTTCTATATACATTAAATCATTCAAATTTCGCATGAATAAATTTAAATACAAATTTTTGTTTAACAAATTTAATACAACACTTTTGTGCAATAAAAAATAAATTGAATTTATATTTTTATGCATAGAAGAAAATTTAAATTAATTAAATGCAGTTTTTGCTGAAAATGTAATACAAATTTTTTTAATTAATTTTTTTTATAAATTTAATATTTTTTTTTTGCGACTGCATTGCAACGCATATTTAATAAAATTTTATGCCTGCAGGCCGTGTTTACAATTGTTGCCCATAAACAATAAAATTCAAAATTATGACTGATAAATTCACATGCGGAAAAAACATATATACAAGTGCACGTAGGTATGTATGTGAGTAGATGTTCTGGAATAAATTGTTACAAACGAATCCAATTTAAATGATAATGTGGCCAAAATCATGAGTATGACGCCGGTCGGAGGACAATTGAATATGAATTCGCGCATAAAAGCGAATTATTTGCTTAATTTTTTATATTTATCCTTGCAACATTTTCTTTTTTATTATTATTTCATAATAATTTTTTATTATTTTTGCACATTTGCATTCATATAATGCACTTTAACATGCACATAAACACACACGCACACACGCACACACTAATTTTACAAACACATTAACGTATCCTTACACAATTCCAACACCGCACAACTGACAGGCCGGATGTCCGCTTGCGGACAATGGTCTTTGGCCATCGTCATGTGCCAAAGCTGCAGCGGCTGCTTCCATTTCCGCCTTGTATTCCGGTCCCTGCAAAGCCGGACACACCGGCATCATAATAATGCGTGGATCGGGCTTTTCGGACGGAGTTGCAACTGTAGCAGGTGCAACTGCCGCAGCCGAACTGACATTGGAGGCTGAAACGGTTGTTGCAGTTGACGAGCTCGCCACCTTACTCTGCACCAGCGAAGTACTTACACGTTTCTCGGTCGTCTTCTGCACCTGCTCCTGTTGAACTGTTTCGCGGGTGGAGCGGCGTTCATTACCGCCAATGGCATGACTGTGAGTCCAATAGAAATTGGCTGGACTATGTGGCTCTGTTTCGTTACGTTACGTTTAATTGCATTGTTGTTGCATTGTTCGTTGTTTTCATTCAAGATTTTTTTTAATATTCGATTTTATTTGCGGTTGGCGACGGAAGTTGAAAATTTTATGAACCACAAAAGCAAATCTCGTTAGTAAATAATTTAATATTAATGCCAATATTATTATTTCTTTATTATTATGCACCTACAGTGGTAGCACCTAATTAGTAACTGCCTACCAATAATAATAGCTTCGTATATACAATTTAATGCAAATTTATATTTGGTATTTTAGTACTCATTACATGTGTATGTATAGTATGTAAATATATAAGTGCATTTAGTACTTCAGAAAATTTTGGTTGATAAATGAATGAGATAATGTTTCAATGTAAAGTGGAAGTATATTATATAGTATTTTCATATTTAGTTGTGTTAGTAATTTGTACTAAATTAGTACTAAAAGTTGTGATTAGTACTAAAATTTTAGTACCTTAAGTAGTTGTTTCACTTACGTTATGAGACGTTCGCAATCATTGCAAATGTTTTGACCTGTTGGCAATCCACCAGTGCTTGGAGGCTTTGGTGTATTTATTGGGGCACTAACATGTCTGGTAGCTGAAGGTTGATTGTAATGTTGTTGTTGTTGTTGTGGTGGTGGTGGTTGTTGATAATGTTGTGGTGGTGTTTGTTGTTGTTGTGGTTCTTGGTACTGATGATTGTTGAAAACTGTGTTCCGTTCAGTTTATTTAAGTGTTAAGTGTTCATTGTTTGTTGTTTGTTGATGTTTTGTTAATGAAATTTTTTAAATAATGAAAACATGAAACAATAAAGAAAGAAAAGGTTAAATTTCAACAAAACAAAAAACATATTAAGAAAATTAGAGATATTCTAAATTAATAATATAAGCGCTTTTGTTGCTATTACTCTAACTTTTATAACAAAAACTTGAAATTTTATTAAAAAAGAGTTAACCATTCATTAGCTTTACAGAAAAAATTGATAAATTGAAAATATTTTAATAAGAAACACAAAAGATATTTCTGTTTGTGACTAGAAGTCTGCATTATAATAATCTAATTATTAATTTAGGAGTACCGATTCAATGTAAAACAGTATAAAAAAATAATAATTTTATTGGAATAAAAAATGGAATCGAACCGATATATATTTTTTTTTTGGAACCACTGCCAAATTTTTATTAGTTAATAATTTATTTAAGATATAATATTTGAAGAGGTGCTATATTGATTAGCCGATATGTTGTTTGCTATTGAAATAACACCATTCACTGAAAACCCGACAAAACTGTTGTTTTTCCGGAAACGAAAACCGGAAACAATTTAACTGGAAACGATTTAACAACTGATCAATTTCTATTAATTAATTACTGAATTAAAAAATAATTGCGTAAAAATGTGAAATGTGAATTACCAGAAAATTTAAAGAACACTATGTTTTTATGGAAGAAAAAACCGGTACTTAGCCGATATATTTTTTTAATAAATAACAAAAATTTCAATTCAAAGCTCTGAGAAATTTTTTTAAAGAATGTAGATTAACCGAGCTAATGTTAGCTATATACCAATAACTCACTAAAAATTACTTTAAAATTTATCAGTACTCTAAGATGTTCATTCGGTGGAGACTCGATATTTCACACCTAATGACCATGTCAAATTATTATAAGGGAATTCAAATTTTATTAAAATTTAAATCATAGCTGTGTTCCATTTGTATTGACTTTTGATTACAAGTATTCATTATATATAATAAAATTTTTTATTTCAATCTTTTCTATATCTAAATCTGTTATTAGTATAAATAGTCATGTCTTATTGTTATATCAATATTTCATTTACAAAGAATTCTTAAAATCATCACAATCATTAACTATTTTGCCCTGTTAAGATCAACTTCTCGTAACTATTTTTAAAAATATGTTTCATGACCTCTAAAAATATCACTATCGTAGTATTTACTAAACTCTAAAGTATAGCTTATAAATTCATTTTCCATATCTGCTTATATCTGTTATATATTATCATTCACATTCAAACATGTAACAGTTGCGACATTTCAAGGTCTTTTCCCTGCTTTTTAAAAACTCTTACATGTTCTACATACACATTTATTTTATAAGCTATTTATACTTAGAATTGTTCAAATTATTTATCTAAATATACTAGTTGGCAAATGCTCAAATAATTTCCTCTTAATCGCTGCAATAATTCTTAATATAGCGTAAAATACCTAAGCGATAAAAATGTCTAAATTAATCTCCTAGCACATCTACTTGAAATATGTTATTGCCACCATTCAACGCAAAGAGTAATTCGGCCAAAACGAGATAGTGTTCGATATTACCTGGTGTAGACTGTCCAGTCTCCTCTTCACGTAAGAATTTCAAGACTTCAGATTTATCGGCTTGATATTCCTTTTCGTTTTTCTTGAAGTTCACACTGAAAATAAATTAATTTATAGGTAAGAGTATGGTATACGGCACAAGAGAGAGAGTATTAAAAGATTTAAATACGTAAGTAAAATAGTGTTGCATACTTCTAAGCGTCTAGCTGAATAGCATAATCCAATGCGCAAAAAAGTAGGCAACAGTAAATTAATGTGTGATTTACAGAAGGATATTAGCAGAACTATTTACACAAATTCACTCTTCTTGCATACCTTAAGGGTTAAACTGTGTAATGTGTTACTTATAAAAGTATGCAAGGAAAAAATAATTAATCAAGTTTTAAAAATCTTAATGAACTTAATTTAGTTCAATGTTCTTTAGTTTCCTCTATAGACTTTTCTACTGCATATTTGTTCTTTAGCAAATATGATATGTTATGACTTTAAAAGCAAAAAAATGAATTTAAAATAAATATGCTTTTAATTAGGACATATAACACTAACACAAATTTTACTCGAACTGTAAACATGAATCACAGAAGTAAAGAAAAACAATATTAAAACTAATTTAAAATAGTGCGTAGATAAAAAGTTCCCTCAAGAAATTAAGTTAAAAGTGTGCACTTTTTCTGGTTTCGTACGCGCAGCTACATTTGAACTTTTCAACTTTATAAGTATTTACTCAAAACTTGGACTAGTTCAGTGGCGTTTCGAATGGAAGTACGCAAGTAAGGAAACTGTTTTCATTGTGGGAACATTAAAAAAATTGCACTAAATTGTTCCGCTACAAGTTTGCCACATGACTCCAGTCGTTTAGGGCTAAAACAGGGCAGAACGAGTGAATTTTATTGTATTCCTAGGGCATTTTAAAAGTTGTGAAAATGTAAATAAAAATGAAAACAAAAATGTGGACTTAAAAAGCAAAAAAAAAAAAAAAAAAAATGTTGCTTTGTTTTGTTTACAGTTGTTTTCTTTTATTTTACTTTGAAACAATGAAAAACCGCTGGAATTTTTTTAAAAAATATTGTGAAAAAGCTACTCTTCTATTTGCTGCTATTGTTATGTTCGTTGTTTCAACTTTTATTTATTTTTACTTTATATATTTTGAGTTACTGTGCAGTTTTTGTAGCAGCATTCGGTGTCGTAGTTGTGTGAAATGCTTAAAAGTAAATGTTTTCATTCTCACTTACCCAAGGACACCGCCAGCCAAAACTTCAGCCTGAGCCGAAAGTGTTTCCGCAATAGATTCATCGCTGTAAATGCCAACTGGGGTGTTGTATTGTTTATTGACAATGCTCTTAACGCTGCCATCACCGCCGTTGACCTAAAATAACCAAATGGAATAGGTTTGTACTTGCAAAGTTTGTTAGGCAAAAACAGAATGTAAAATATGCAAAACGCAATATGGAATTCTGAGAAGAAAAAAAAATTATTTATAAAAATTGTACAAGTGTGAATTGACTCGATGCAGTGGTCAAATGTAATTTTATTCAATTAGGATTTCAACGGGCAAGTGGCAAAGAAATGTAATTATAAAATAAAATTAAATTAAATGCAAAAGTTTTCACATTATCTGAAATGGAAATAAAATAGAAATTATCTCTCTGGAATACTCTAACTGTAGACCTTGGCTTACATTTAAACTCAGTTCTATATACTACAAAGTGTATATATGAATTATGCAGTAAATAAGATTAATTTATTAAGTTAAGAATTTATTTATTAATAAAAACTGAAGTATATTAATGTATAGGCTTTCTTAGCAAACCAAGCAAAAATATTCAAACATCATATTGTGCTCGAACACCTGCTGTCATACGCATTGGTATATGTCCGACTATTCGACTAACTAAAACAGCTTCATTCGAATAGCTCGAACATTAAAAAAGTATGAACGAAATGTTCGAATTCGGATGCAAGTGAGCAGTTTAAACATCGAAATGTTCGAACACTTTTCAACAGAATACTAAAAAAAATGATTTAACTCCTTAAAAGTTTATATGAATTCCTTCATAACTAATAAATAATATATCATAAATGTTCACTTCATCCTCTTGACCTGTTCTAACGGCGACTTCAATCACTGATTGTTTTAATTTTTTTTCACGCGGGTGCTGCCAGAATGCTTATACACTTTAAGGCACTAATCTTGAAAATAAACCCGCACCAAAACTACAAAAAAAAAACTAATAACTATAATTAACTGATGTAATGGAAATTATTGCTATTATAGTAACCCCAATACAAAAGATATTACAAAAGACATAGGTATATAGGCAAAGGGCCCAATACCATTAGGAAAATTATCTTATCTTCGCCGCACCTTATAGGAGTATTTATGGTTTCTGATAGGAACGTCACGTTTTTTTATGACACCAATGACTAGATATGCCAATTTTTCAAAGTAAACTTTTTCCGAAAACTTGGCCTATGTTATTATATGGAGAGTATTCGAAAGTGAATAAAAGAAGTTCAAGTGTGTCATTCGTGGCCTCATACTAAAAGCATCTACAAAAGCTATTAATTAGCTTACGAGGGGAAACTTAATCTTACCACGTGCGAATATACAAGTATTAAACAATGTGGTATTAGGCCTTACCTTACCATCTTAGCTGCCTTATGACTGGCTTGAACTTCAGTATGGAAAATATTACAATAGTCCGGTGTTCTGAACTTAAAGAGCTAGTATGCAAGGAACGCCCAAGCGTATGCAAGGAACAGACACTACCCAAGCATTTATTTTCTAGCCATCCGTATAAATATGGACTGTCTCTTCACTTTTGACTAGACGAAATTCCTTCTTTCTTAAACGAAATAAGTTTTTGTATCTCTTAAAGAACACTGTCATTAGAATAATGTGAGAGATATATGTTAAAACGACTGTGAGCCGTTTCACAATTTTTAAGTGTCTCTAAATCAAATGCTCCCATAATTTAGTGGACTAAGTTTGAACACAGACATACTAGCAGTTCTAATGACAAACATTTTTATTGAAATAAATTCCAGAATTTTGTATAAAGTCTTCGTCGGTATATTTCTGATACCCTACTTTACAACAATACCGACAAATCTTTGTGCATTACTAATACGTTTGGTATGCTACTATCCTTATCCAGAGCTTTGCCACTAAACAAGTGATCTAAAAAAATGGATTATTCTGATTGCAGCTGTGTATTGGCATCGGTTTTCAAGATTATTGATTAAAGCAAAAAAAAATAAATTAGGAAAATATAATTTCAATTATTAAATAGTGTATTTTTTTATTCAAGAACTGCACGTCCCATGACAAGAAATCCATTTTGGATAAGAAAAGGGTGATAGCGAAGGTAGTAATGGATTTTAATAAATATTTACCTACACTTCGTACAACTTTTTCCACTGCACTGTATTCCAAAATTGTTTGGTTCTCAAGATATTGAATTCACAATTGTATGTGTTTTACATTAATTTCGATCGGAAGAAATTACACATGCCATCTAGCTTACTTTTGAAGAAGTGTAAATAAGAAGTTGGACAAGTATATTGTCAACGAATAATACTTATCTAAATATCTACTTATTATTTGTAAGCACTTTTATAGAATACAATTTTTAATTTTATTGAATAAACGACGATTAATATGTTATAATAGTGACCGTTAGTTGTTATTGTCCTGTGACATCTAACGCTAAAGTTCGGTTTTTAGAACACTACGGTTTATTTGCATACAGCGTAGGTAAAAAATTAGTCGAAGTCTTGAAATAAACCAATGCCCTTTATCCAATCGTTAAGTTAGGATAATGAAGTCAGTAAAATCAGGATAGTGGTAAATATATTTATAATGACGGTATTGCCCTCGGGAGACTAATAGTAATCTAGTATATATACACCTTGGAAGGAACAGGGGCTATTCGAACAGGGCTAATTTATTTTGTTAAATAAATACAACTAAATATAAATATAGTCTTTCGATTTATTTCAAAGAGACTTTAGCTTCTAAACAATACCATTAAATAACGGCAAGATCACGTGAATAACAAAAAAGAAGAAATAACTAAATATATTATTTTAAAAAGGATTTATCTAAAATCCTATTTTTAATCTATTTTTAGCAAAGTTTAGGTATCAACTTCATAAATATTTGAATCCTTTCAAAAACTCTCCATCACAATTTTGTTTCTTTTAGGATTGAGCCCAAATCATATCATAGAGACTCGTTAAATATGATATTGTTTATTCTATTATAGACCGGCAGACATAACAATTAAGTTCAAAATATGCCTACATCCTCTGCTGGATTCTGGTATATTTTATATTCATCACTCATTTTGACAGTTTTCAAACAATGAATGCAAATGCTGTCAAATTTAAGTTTAAACCTCACCAGACAGCAACAGAAACACATATATTTCAATCATTCGTCATCATATAAGACACATTCATCAGTACACAAAGTTGGGTTTATAAACATAAAATATTCCCAAATATTTCTAAGAAGGATGGGCTCATTTCCCTAAGAATTAAATGTTCATTTAAGCAAATCCTGGTAAAGACTTAATGCCACACTCTATGAAGGATTTCTGACACTTTATAAAATCAACAAAAATATCATTAAGGATATGCTTTGATATGTCGAAAATTAAACACAAAACTGTTACCGAAAAGTCGTCCTTTTTCTGAATAAGGACAAAATTGGAAAAAAGAGGTTTGCTTTGTTTGCATTTGGTAAACTTACAAATGGACGCGCTGCATTGTTGTAGCCACAGCCAATGTGTTGGGATTCCTGTTGTTTGTGAGCTAGAGAAGTTTTCGTCACTGTCTGTAAATATGGTGAATTTTGGTTTGGTTGTGGTACATGACCGGTTGGAGTGACATGTGGACGCCATGTCGAGCCGCCCCTGTAAGGCAACAAAATTATTGCACTATTCAACTTTTATGCTCTGTGCTCATATACTTGCCTTTGAATTGTAACCACAAAATTATTGCCTGAACGCACGACAATATCCTGAGCGTCCTTGTGACGTAGATTGAAAACATCGACGTCATTTATTTTAAGAACAGCATCGCCAGGCAGCAAACCGGCCTGTTCAGCCAAACTTCCGCCATTAACCTGTAAGTAAAAAATAATAATAAAATTAAATTACATTTCATGTGAGTTTTTATGATTATTATTTTGCATTTAATATCGATACTTTTTATCTATGAGCTCATACAACAACAACAATGCGATTTATAACAAACTTACGCAAAACATTAATTAAATTTTATTAAACAATTAATTTGTTGCAATTACAACTCAATAACATTTGGCCATAAATCAAAGTAGTAAAAACTGCCTCAGGACAAATCGACAAACCGAAAAACAATGGCAATATTTTTGTAGTCTGCATTTTACATTTGCAATTCATGTTACTCATACTCATGGGCACCAACTCCAACTCCGACTTCGACTCAGACTACACATCCACATCCCGAGCTGGTACTCAACTACTACTGAACCCCACACTCAAAGTTACGTCGGAGTCACGCAAATAAGCCGCCAGTTTTAAATAGGAAAAAATGTCTATTGATTTCATTACTTTTACCAAATGTGGCCTGCAATGACCATTGCAATTGTCTAACCAATTGTGGTCTGGCCATAAAATACGAGTACACTGCCACAACAAATCCTCGACAGCTCTTATGGTTACTACTATTTGTACGGCAATCGTTGGACAAATAATCTACTAAATTTATTATTATGCGCTGGCAAAATTATGAATCAACAACAAAAGCAAAGCAACCAAAGCAACCGAAGCAACAAAAGCGACAACAAACAGACATTGAACAGACAGACGAACACACAGACGAGCAGACGGACAATGAGCCAGACAATCAGATTAAAAAGCAACAAGAGGCATTGTTTGCTCCGGAGACAAATTTTTGAATTAAGACAAATCAGTGAAATGCAAAGGAAAATTCGTAATCGAAAGTGCACTTTACAATGGAAGGGTTTTATGGATTAAGTCCCTCTTAAGTGGGTTTTCACATGCAAATGAAATATTTTGTTTAAAAGGTTTGAAGTCTTTTAATAAATTTAGTCTCAGCTTACTTTTAAAGAAGTGAAGAAGAAGTTGGAGAAGTGTATATATTGCGAATAATATTTATCTAATTATCTACTAATTATTCACAATCGCTTTTATAGAGTACATGCTTCGAAAATGGGTTTCATAAACTAATAAAATATTTTCCTTTAAAGGTTCGACGTCTGTTAGTAAATTAAGTCTCAGCTTATTTTTAAAGAAGTGTAGTTGTGAAGAAGAAGTTGAAAAAGTGTATTTTCTATGAAAAATATTTATCTAAATCTCTACTAATTAGTCGTAAGTGCTTTTGCAGAGTATATCCGTTTAAAGTGGGTTACATATACCCATGAGATATTATGTTTGATTGATTTGAAAAGTCTTAATACACAATAATGCGTCTGAGTTCAGAAGTATGTTACCTATAATATGATGTTTGTCTAATTCTGTACTTATTATTCCTAAGAGAACAACCTCTTGATTATTTACGTTGATGGTTTACGTTGATACGAAAAAAAAAAAAAAATTGTTTTTTCAACCTTGAAGTTGCTTGGATATAATATTTTAGAATGGGTCCTGAATATCATTTATAACATAGTACATTGAGAAAAGAAGAACAACTAACAGAATCTATCATTATACTCCAAATCAGCATCAGAAGCAGCAACTGGTGCTATCAGAATTTGAGTTCTGTATTTAAGCTAAGTACACAGCACCTGGTAAAAACTTCCCTAATAGAACAAAAACTCCAATCATCAACTGGGAAGGTTCTGGTCCTTATATTATGGAATATGTATTGATAACTACTAACTATTAATTAATACTTTAAGAGAAGAAGAATGATCAACAGGGAATACTAGATGGCATTATTAGTTTGTTTGAAGAAAGCAAAGTCGAAAAAACCACCTCAACTGATGAAAACATGTATTATGAGAATATTTGCCGAAATTAATTTTGTATTACTTTCCCATCCATTGTATTTAAAAATGAATGCTTAAATAAAATGAATATTTTAGGAAAGAAAATTTGTATCCAATAATGAGTGGTACACGTAACTATAATCTATTTTGAATTTTGAGATAAATCATTCTCATCAAACAGTTTAGAAATGTTTGAGCATATGTTTGAAAACATATATCATATATTCTTCAAAGGAACTTATTTTCGTAAAAAAACGTGCTGATATGTTTTTGCAATTATTTTACAGAAGTTTTATTACATTGACTTTGAATAAAAGAGTACCAAAGGATTCATAGCATTACATATATTATATATTAAGAACGTAGATGATTTTTACTTACTGTTTTTAAGTTCAGTAAAAAAGATATCGACATATTAAGAGGAACAGCAGAAGATAATTCGAGAATATATAGTGAATTAGCAATAGTTGTCAAATTACAGATAAATTAAGCAAAAAAAAAAATTATTTTATTTAAATTCTTTATATCATTTTATTTTATTTCATTATATTATTTTTATTTTAGTTTATTTCTCTTTATTATATTTTGTTTTATTTTATTTTTTTATATATAATTTTATTTTATTTCATTACATTATTATTTATTTTATTTTTTTATTATATTTTATTTATCACATTTTTAGTTTTATTACATTTTATATTATTTAATTTTATTGAATTTTATATTATTTTTTTTTTATTTTATTTTAGCACATTTCACTTTATTTTATTTAATTTTGTTAAATTAAATTAAATTTAATTTAATTTTATTTTATTTAATTTAACTTTATTATATTATTATATATTTATTTCGTTTTTATTTTATTTTATTTTATTTTATTTTATTTTATTTTATTTTATTTTATCTTATTTTATTTTATTTTGATTTATCGCATTTTATTTTATTTTATTTTATTTTATTTTATTTTATTTTATTTTATTTTATTTTATTTCATTTCACTTAATTATATTTCGTTTTATTTTATTAATTAAAATCAAAAAGTTATGCTATTGTTGTCGACTTTAACGTAACTACTAGCCCTAAACTACTAGCCCTAAATTTAAGTAATCTATAAATAAGAAATAATTTGTCATAACTAATTATATTGGTATTAATTTGCTTTAACTTTTTAAAAAAAATGAACTTGGCAAATCTTACAATTAAAGAAGCATTTGTGCTTGCAATTTATAATCTTTCAAATCGTTTACAATAATTTCGTTTAATATTTTGACACTTAAATTTTTTTGCACCGCAGGGCAAAAAGTTATTAAATTGTTGTCAAAGCAGACTTTGACCACCCAAGACCTTAACTCTTTGGAATGATTCATTAACTCAAAAGCGTTTCCTGCCATATCGTGTATCATGCACTGGACTTATATGCTGCGCTGCCAGTAGTAAAGCAACTAAGTTGCGCTGTTTTATAGCAACAAACCGTAGCATGTTGTAAGCAACATGTTGCTTAGTCTTTTTCAATTAGCGTAAAGCAAATTAAATGAGCTGCTGTAATTAATTTATATTTCTTTCTTTTCTATTTTAATATCGTTTTTCTTATTATTAGCAAAAACAAAAAAAATAAACATCAGAAAAGGAAACTATTAAGTTTAATTACTGCTCTGCATGTCTAACATTATTATATTTATTCTGCTGATTAGGGAAAACCATGAAAAGTTGCCCAGGCAAATTTGAACTAATCTTACGAGGGTTTTATCACTAATATTTCTGTTAATATTAGAACATATGTTGAACAATTTATTGTAATTAATTGAATGGAATTTTCGTGTGTGTTTACCGGGCCTCGTTCTAATCACACACGGCTTGTTTTCGTAAATATTATTATCAAAATAGGCTTAAAGGATTTTGTCACAAACAAAAACACTCCACACTGTCGTCTGCTCAGCTGTTATTGTTAGGCCAACTTGCCAACTTACCAACTTGAAGTTGTTGTTGAAGACACAAGCATATTTGCATAAATTTATGGGGGAAATTTAAATTTGTTTTCAAATACAGACACAGCATAGCAGCAACAAATTACACATACGCACAACATACGCACACACATGTCAACAAGATTTCAACGATTTTTGGGACAGAAAATGTTAAGCACTATGACAGGCAAACTGAAGAAAACTGTAGCCACTAATCTTATGCCATGGACGAATGAACGAATGGACGAAATACTGAAACAATAGAATAATAATTTCGTTAGATGAAGATGTGAAGTGGAAATTGCGTGTGCGTAGTTGTGTGAGTACTGCATGTGAGTACTAACGCAAGGAAGGCTACTCTGTCCAAAGGTGTTTGTTATGTTAAAAGGTTTTCGTACATGTGTATGTTCGTACAAAAATGGTGGTATGTGTAAAAGGTGGGTGGAAGTGTTGGGTTTATTTATTAGTTTTGCATACAAACGTGGTAAAGAGGTTATTTTCACTTTGCTGCTGCTGCTACTGCTACTGTTGCTTAGTGTGTATGTATATGTTTTGCTATTTTATCAGTGTTGCCGCTGTTTATAGTGTCTGTCGGTAACAGCATTTCAGTTACTGCTACTCTGGCTGCTGCTGTTCTGCTATACTGCTGTTGTTACACTGTAAACACGTCGGTATAAGTTTTGAACGATATGCATATTTCTCCAGAGTATTGTGTGTGTTTTTGCTATACAAAATCCATGTTAAAATACTTGCTTCTAAGGTGCATGCGTCTGTGCGTTGGATCCACGTCTACGTATGTATGTGTTGACCTCCTGTTAATAATAACGCAAATGATGATTTACTGCGGCAAATGTGGTAGAAAATTTATTTAAGGATTGTGTGACTTCTGGCATACGAGGCGGTCGGGCTGAGTGAGTTATTAAAGTAACAAACCAGAAAACACACATTTATTTGCCCGATTCCTTTATTTATGGGCCAACCAACAACCAACAACCTGCCTGCTTGCCTTATAGAGTTGTGTGCTGTTGTGTGTTTTGAGGTTGAAAACTTCATGAATATGTTTATTAATATTTATATTTAAAAATTATTTTGTTATGATACTGACGGCAGCTCACAAAAACACAGAATCACAGAAACACAACAATTAAGTAATTTTGTTATTTTGGC